GGGGAATTGTACTCACCTGACGGCGGCTTCTGTCACTAACAGCTTCTTCTTTGGAAGTTTCACGAACCCAGATGGTCGGAATTGCTCCTTTTTCCAGCTGGCGCCGACTTCCATCCTGGTGAAAAGCTCTCGAAAAACAGCTGTCTTTAAAATGATCGGAACAAATGACAAATCGTGTAGTAGGATTGAAGTTCACGCGATGGGTGCGCACGAACCGCTTCCATCGGTCACACTCTGGTTTACTGATCGGTGAGTAATGGACTGATATTCCCRATTTTTTATCAGAAACATTGCTGCAACCGTATACAACGCAACGGGCAGATGGCATACTTCAATTTGAGAAGCAGCGGCTAATAAATTTTCRATTTTGAATACCTTAAGATAGAGTTTTTCCCTAGTTGTCAAATTTTCCATATACATTAGCCACGAGTGTTTTGATTTTGGTTGAGTAAATGACGTCACAACTCCGACTCGACCCATTCTCCCTGAGCCGATTGCTTGATACAACGATTTTAATGGCGGACGGAAAAAAAACGTCAAATTTTCGATCTTCCCCTTGGAATACGAAGAAATCATTTACGCCTGTTATTAATGAGGTCACAAGGATTCCTTATTGAAAGTTTCAACTTGTTTTGAAATTTGTTCGATTTTCGTCCAAGTGGCCCTTTAAACAAAGAAATGATACTCTAGGGAATGACATGTGGTCTGAAATGGGAAAACATTACGTCAGAGCCGAAGAGGTCTATAACGACATCAACTATGATATTTTATAATGGTTCGAAAATCATAGTTACTGACAAGAAATAAATATTCCGGCTAATACTATATGATATAATAATAATTATATTGTTGGTATTATATTCTATGTTTCTAAGCACTAAAGTACATTTCTATTTTTGTTGATTATTGTTTTTGTTTTGTTTCTATAGTGAAGACAGTGATGATGAGGTTAGTATCTTTCTAACTCATGCCACATAAAACTGCAAATGTTTCATCTTATATTTCTATACAAGCTTTAATTTTTATTTTGTTCTGGTACACATGGGCAGATCCAGAGGTAGTGAGTGGATCCCCTTTTGCATGAATAAAAAAAGACAAATTGTAGCTCAAAACATGTTTAAGGGATTAACTTTCAATAAGCTTACTTGAAGCTCTCAAATTCAAATGCCATCAATTTGTTGTGCAATTTTTTCACGATTTTCCTATCTTTTATGGGTTTCCTGTGGTATTGTTGCAAAGTAGTGTGTAAAGGCTGGTTTAGACGGTACGATTTTTGCCTACGACTATCGTATACAACACGCTGGCGTCTGTCGTAGGTGAGTTGTAGGCTTGATTTACACGCTACGACTCGAGTTGTAGGATGGCGCGAGCATGTTGTATACAATAGTTGTAGGCAAAAATCTTACCGTCTAAACTGGCCTTAAAAGTCACCTCTTTTAAAATATCTTGAACCCACCCTTGGTGACCTTGATGCCCATAGATAGCTTGGCTACAGTAAGACAACAAGCTTAATCAAGAATGACCATCAAGTTCTGTGATCCCTATATCTTGTGTTTACATTTAGACTAATAATGAACAAGTGATTTCGTCAACAAGTTCTACTGAAGATCAACCAACACCTTACGAACACATAGAGGAAAATATTTACCTGATTGATAAGTAAGTTGGCTTACATTATTGAAAATCCTATATTATATTAAGCCTGGTTTTTATTTGTGACAAAAAAGACCTTTCCAGAATTCTCGTTAATGATCACAAAACCATGGTATTATGATATTTGTTTAAATTGCCCTCTTTTCCATATGGATATGTTCAAAGGCACTTTACAATGAGCTAGCTATGAATAAGAGGTGGTTAGTATGAGGTGTAGGCACTGAGGGTGGTCATTGCCAGGGTTTCTTTACGTCCTCAGACTGTAGTTCTTTTACGTCCCTCCAATATTGGCTAGTAATATTAATAATAATAACCTTATTTAACATGCAAAGTACACTTAGCTGACCGCTTATTTTCAGTGTAGTCCACAAATTAATCAACTGAAATGAAGAAATAGAAACATAAAGTGTGTTAAGAATCCCAACTGGTAAGGAGGCAAACCAGTTGGCTATTTACAAGCATGGTCGACAAACTAAATTTGAACTAATCAGAAATCAGGACAAATACAGTCTCAGCTAGTGCCCATAGCAGGACATGTCTACATGTATATGTATGGCTGTGACATATAGAATATTTTTTTCTTTGCCAGGAAAAAACACATTAATAAAGAAGTACGTCGTATGACATGTGAATGTTACACTGAACTTGGCAAGTACACATCTTAATTTGTTTTCTAAATCAGTGTTTAGTCTATTAAGTAATAAATTACTTCTGTTTGTGTATTTATAAGAACTTATTGAACGTTTTCTCAGTTGCGTGCACATCCAACTTGACAGGCCACAAATATGAAAATTCAGTAAAATTGAGAAGCCAGTTTTATATTAATTTAAAGATGAGAATAATCAACTTCATAAATAAAAATAATATAGGAATGTACATGTATGATAATTCTCATTATAAAGCTCCTGTTCAGGTATCCCTGCCCGTTAAGTTCCTAAATTTAGATGCGCACACAATCTTGAGAAAACAGTCTATTGAGCAACTGTTACACGAAAATTAAGTTTCAACATGTATATGCAATATCTATACAATTATCATTAATGTTTAGTTATTTTACTTTGAACAGAAGATAATGAAGATGTAGTTCCTTGTGGAGAAAACTGCTTAAACAGATTGCTGATGATTGAATGGTAAGAGTTTAAAGCTTACACTAGCTACTTTGCCTTTTTATTATGTTCATTTATAGTTTGCAATGCGAGAAACATATAGCTGTACAGCAGACTTCGATTTGCCCAGCTGTTTAATCAGTTTTTTTTTCTTCCTTTCTTTGTTAGCAACAACAGATGTTCATGTGGCAATCGCTGTACTAATAAAAGATTTCAACAAGTATGTATAACTACCTTAGTTTTTATTCCATTTAATAATATTGAGAGTATTACCTGTTGACCTTTATATCATTCTTGTTAATTAATTAATTTTCCCTTCATATTGTGGATGGCGAAGTCCACAAGCAAGCGAGTGATATAATGTGGCCATGAACATGGAAACACTTTAATTGATATCCAACAATTTTTTTTTTTTTTTTGGATTGACTTTAAATTGTATGATTCATAGCATACTATCAAAAGAATGACTATAAGTTAACCATCTTAAAAATTGTATGATTCAGAGTGTACTATAATTTATATTGTATGAGATATTTGCTGAACTTTAGGACCTTTATTGAGCTTTTTATGACTACAATTGGAGTAAAATAAGCCTGACATACCTGTTACTATAAATATTTTAAGCTAAAGACCTATATTTATATCTAAGTATCCACTTAATATTTATACTTATTTAGGTTCATTGTTATTATTTGTATTATATTTATATCTATGTTATTAATTGTTAAGGGCTATTGGTCATTCTTTTGGAAATGGCACTATATTAAAAATTAAAGTTATTATTATCATTGTTTATATCTAAATTATATATAAATTTCTTGTTTTGTTTTGAAGGGCTGCAAAGTGAAGATAGAAGTTTTAAAAACAGAAAAGAAAGGATGGGGACTGAAAACACTGGAGGACCTGGAAGAGTAAGATATCTTATCTTAGTAACAGGGCTCAAAATAGCGGCCTGCCAATGGTCAAATGGCAGGCCAAATTTCAAATGAATAATAAAAATGGCTTGCAAAATTTCCTTTACTATGGCAGACTACAATTTCTTTCTATTTCAAGCCCTGAATAAGAATTTAGGTCCTAAACTCTTCAGAAAAAGAGTTCTGAAAACCTCATTCAATACACAGTATTCCTACAGGGATCACATTAACGTAGAAATTGTGCATTTATATAAATTATCAGCAAAAAATGTGTTTCTCAATTTTGATGCTTTTCAGGGGGCACACTTTACTTGTGTCAACAAGGGCTTCTTTAATATTTGATAGCACCTGGGCACCCATAACATAATACTGCATGGACCCCAAAAGACCTCTTAACTTGGCTGCAATATGAAGTTYTTCCATTTCAGACCATGGGTCATTCTCAAGGGAATAGTTTTTTCCAGTTGTATATTAGAAGACACATGAATATGGATCCCACTGGAATGAAGAATCTTATTCCCCCAAAAATGGCTCATGCTCTGAAATTGAAAGACATCTTAGGCCCAGAGGTTCCAATAGAAAACTTCACCTCTCACCACTGGCTATTTTACAATAATACAATGAGGCCATATTAAATGAACCTACTTCAAAAATTGCTGAATTCCTGGTAGGCCAAAGATAGCTTAAAAGTATACGGGCCTTAATCACATGGTACCTTGTTCATTCCCATAAAAATGAAAGCCTTCTTTTAATCCAACATAACCATTTCCAGAAATGCTTTAGTCTTAGTATTGAACATTCCAATGAATATGGCTGCCTTGTGAGAAAGGCCCATTTCTTTGGAAGCTTAACGTACAGACACACAGTGCAACATTGAATCGCGCTCTACTCAAGATTGCAACATTGCAAGGAACAAATTTCATCGTGTGAATATGGCTGCAACATTGTGTGCAACATTTTAAAATTTCCAGCCAATCAGCTAGCACCAAATTTATAATTGCTGACCAAATATCTTAGCATAGCAGACTGACACAAGCAATATTGCTTGATTTTGTTGCAATGTGTGTCTTATATTTGTTCTCACATTTCTACCTAATTTTCCCCAGAAACCAATTTGTGATGGAATATTGTGGAGAAGTTATGAATTATAGAGATTTCATGAAAAGAGCAGAACAGTACGATCGACAGAAGCGCAAGCATTATTACTTCATGACTCTTAGAGCTGACGAGGTACGTAAATGAATCACTATACTCTGCCTGCGAAAGGATTTTGGTATTTCGAATTTAGTGTTCCAGCACTGTGCTGTGTAAAAACTAAAGCAGAAAGCAGTCATTTATCTGTAATTATAATTATAATAAAACAATATGTTTTTTGTTTGTTTATATTATAGATCATTGATGCAACTTTTAAAGGAAGTCTTTCTCGGTTTGTAAATCATAGCTGTGATCCAAACTGTGTCACCCAAAAGGTATTGATAGGAAAATATCATAGTATGCCCTTGGCTGGACATGAAACCATGTCCTCTGTATTCTAGTCTGGTGGGTTAACCACTACGCCACAAGCAACAAGCATGCTAGATAGAACATACCTCCCCATAGTCCTGCCTTTGACATGCACACATTCATTTTATAACATAGCCACTATATAACACACTCTGATTTGTTATTTAGAGTGCGCACACATGTATCTTAAAATCAATGGTGCACAAAATTATATGATCCAGGACACTGACATGATTGAGGAGTGCATGCTATGCAATGTAGATTCATTTATTTTTATTCTTAGCATGCTTCCATGGCATTTTGGGTGCACTTGGTTGGTCGCTTAAAGCTAGAGTATTACGCTTCCTTCATGCCTACCAACCTCCTGCATGCACCCAAAACTCGATGGAAGCAGGCTAATCAATTACCAATCCTTCATACATGTACTTTGGATACAATTCTCCAACTCAAAATCCTTAATCTTCTCTTACGATTGATTATTGACATTAAACTTTTTTTTTCTGGATTGCAGTGGACAGTAAATGGACTTTTACGAATAGGATTTTTTACTCTACGAAAAATATCTGCAGGAGAAGAACTAACATTTGACTATCAATTACAGAGATATGGGTAAGAATCTGGTCTATAAACTTAATATAAAACTCTTATTAACTGTTTGCAAGGCTCATACCATTAGTTATGGCCAACAGATTGGCCAATAGTCTCCTTCACAGTTCCCTGCGCCATCTTGAAAGGTAGCTGTGCCTTTGCATCGAAGCGAGACGAACGGTGAGCTTCCGGTGATAGAGACCTGTGAATAATTGTCCAAAAAAAATATCTCTATCATTGCAAGCTCACCGTTCGTCTCGCTTCAATTCAAAGGCACGGCTACCTTTCGTCTCGCTTCGATTCAAAAGCATGGCTACCTTTCAAGATGGCGCAGGGAACCGTGAAGGGGACTATTGTAGTTTGTGAAACTCAATCAGAGCTAGAAAGGTTTTGCTAAAAATAATGGCTGCTCAATAGATGATCACTGGTCACATCAGACTGATCAACGTGACCAGTCAAAGTGCCAGCTCAAGAGAGTCAATCAATATAAAGTTGTCCCAGCCTACAATAACTGTGTTGTGTGCTCCCATACATCCACAGTTGTTTCCTTTAATATAATTATTTTATTAGCTGGCTGAAGTTTCATAAATAAAAGATTTGCATTTTCCATTATCTGGCCATTATTTTAAGCATTAAGAACCTCCCTATACTACAGTATCATACCAATATATTATTTGTCTTACATGTACATATCCATGTAACCATTTTTGTTATTTACTCACATAGGAAAGTTGCCCAGACATGCTACTGTGAATCTCCTAATTGTACAGGTATTATTGGTGGTGAGAAACACACGCCACTCAAGAACGCAGTGGAGAGAATAGGTAAAGAATAACTACTAACTGATAATTCATAGTTAAATTTACAGCGCAGTTCTGGGAGAATAAGGGCACCACAGAGAGTTACAGTAGCTAATTTGGATAGGATCTCTACGTCTGTTTTGACTTCTCTATAATCCATGTACAAGTGCTCTTAAAACAGAGCTCTGATGGAGAGAAGGGGTAAAGTGTGCACTGTTGGCTTCCTTAGATATAAGCCACATAGCTGAAGAAACTACCAATGTTAAATATAGTTATTTCACCTTTTAGACTCTCAGAGAAAAAGTGAAACAATCTATTTTCGCTCTGCAATTTACGTTTATAAACAATACTTTGAATTACTGACCTTTGGATTTTTTCCAGTTATTCCTATTACATGATTTTTTCTGTTATTATGTTGAATTATTCCTATATAGTTACTCCATCGACTAGCTCTCCAAGAAGGAAGAGAAAACCTGGCAGGAGTTTGGTAGAAGACTTTGATGCATTTTCTGTAAGTTAAAGATTATTTTTTTCATACATGAAATTAGTATAGGAAATCACATGATCTCGAGTACAATTTGGAAATAAATAGACTCACGAGTAATGTTTTGAAAGTACTTGTAATTGCATGAGCCTTTAGGCAATTAATTCCAAATTGTACGAGAAGATCGTGTGATTTTTTGTTTATAGTTCACTCAAAAAAATTTCAGTAAAAAATGCGAAATGACGCCGTTCTTCTTTGTCTATTTGGCGGCCAATTTTCAGTCCATCGCGCAACTGAAATGCATAAAAAAGATTAGTTCTTACAGCTTTAAAATATTATTTATGTTTTTTATTAGTACAAAATAATTGTTTTGGCCGTGTTGCCATAGCGACTTAATTCGGTACTCCTAAGGAGTACAATTAACGTTATAATTGTACTCCTCTCGACCAATCAGAGTCGAGTAATTTTGTTGAGTGTACTATAAATGACAAAATATTCTAATTTTCAAAAGTATAATAATTCTTTTTTTCCAGATTGAAGAAGAGTTACAACGTCTTATTGGAGATCATTGTGGCATGTCCAATAGTGATCAAGCTCTCAATTTATCAAGGTTAATGGTTAGGGCAGAAACTATGCCACAACGAATAATGCTTTTGAAAGTTTTGCAGGTATGACGAGGAATGTTTTTTGTATTTAGCTTGAATATATTTATGCTACATGACTGTACATTTATGTTGTATGGCATTTAGATCAGTTCTGTGATTAGGATGCATTCTGAGCTTGGTAGTAAGCTTGCCTCTTTTCTTTCTTATACACTCTGATAACAAAGCTTTTGACAGGTTAATTAACAACAGAGTACTATTATTCAAATTTCATTCAAGATAACTGCCTACAGATAATATTCTGCTCATGCGCATTATGACGCAAAGCCGTTTTGCTGCAAATATTAGTCTTCTCATGTGCAGTAACGTTGCATTTGTCTACATTGTAGCTTGCTTCCCTTTGACTCTCCCTTTGAGAAGTTACATGGAAAATGACTTTTTTAATTGATGATTATCATAGTCTATTGCCCATTAACCAGTTGTGACTTTTGTCTCAATCAGCTCGTAGCAACGAAGACAGTCTGTGACAATCCCTTACACTTTATTACTAGATAATATCAGTACCTGTATGAGCCAAGAAAATTTGCTTTGTTTTTCAGAATACAACAGATCAGAATTGTCTTAAGGCATTCCTAAGATACCAGGGTCTTTCACTGTTGTGGAGCTGGATGGTTGATGCTGGTGCAAAACCAACTGGGAAACTGCAATATGAAGTAAGTGATTTGAATCACTTGTTGTGAAATGGATGGGAGGAATAGATGGATGGATAAGTGAATAAGAAGAAGGATGTAGTTATGGGTTATATAGAGGAGGATGGGTGAGTAAATGGATGGTTAGGTGGATGGGAAGTATAGATTGGTAGATGAGTGAATGAATCGATGGATAGATGGATGGATGAAAGGATGGATGGATGGGAGGAATAGATGGATGGGTAAGTGAATAAGAAGAAGAATGGAGTTATGGGTTATACAGAGGAGGATGGGTGTGTAAATGGATGGTTAGGTGGATGGGAAGTATAGATTGGTTGATAAGTGAAGGAATTGATGGATGGGTGGCAGGATGGAAGGAGGGAGGGAGGGATAAATGGATAGGGAGGTGAGTGGATAGATATATGGCACAATGAATGGATAATGAGGAAGAGATAGATGGATGACTGGGGGGTGAGAAGATGGAGGGAGGGATAGATGAGTGTGCAGGTGAATGGATGGATATATGAAACAATGAATGGATAAATGGATTTAAAGGAAGGGATAGATGGATGACTGGGGGGGGGGTGGGTGAGAAGATGGAGGGAGGGATCGATGGATGAGTGGGGGGGGAGAAGATGGAGGGATGGAGGATCTTGACATTTCACAAAAATAATTCCACACCTTTTTTTCTGTCTAGCTTCTTTCGACGCTTAAATACCTACCAGTCAGCAACAAAAATCAACTGGAAGACAGTAAAGTGATCAAAGTTGTTAAAAAATGGGCCAACAAGGAAATGGCTGAGCAAGAAATGCCCTCTTCGTGTAGCAGCCAGGAAGAAAACCCTGAAGACATAGACCGTACCTTAACACAAGAAGATGTGGACTCCAGTTCATCTGAAAAGACAAAGAAAAAAACTGGCTTTGAAATTCAACTTTCAAGTCCTAGTTCTTGTGGGAAAGGGGTTTCTGAAGAGGAGATATCAAATATGGATTTAACAGGTGTTCAGTCTGACAATAAAATGGGGGAAACAAAAGAAAGAGCTGACAAATCTCCTGATGATCTCTCTGAAGATGACACCAAGTCCACTGAGGATGACCAGTCTGTTGTATCAGAAGATGGAGATGTTGGGCCGATGGCTTTTGATTTATTAAAACAATGGAGTAGTTTAAAGGTACAGTATTACAGGTTTTCCTTTGGATTTTTAGTTATATCAACATGACTCGTCTTCAAAAATTGGGGATGCTAGTCGGAATTTTTGAAAATGACTCCTGAAAGGTATTGTAACTAAGTCATGTCCACGTGGGGCATGGCAAGTAATGTTTTTTTCCCTTAACGAAACAACTCGAAAGCCATAAACAAATAAACAAATATGAATATCCTGAATTACAGCTGTCATTCTGACACTCATTACCTGATCTTGGGCAGAGTGAGTACCATATGTCCATGAAAAACGTTGTAAAAATTTGCACAAATTAGTAAGTTCAGTAGATCTTAGTAGACCGTAAATCTACTAAACTTACAGTAGCACTAATTTGTACAATTTTGTTAGTTAACTTTTTCATGGTATGCATTCTATCTTATTTACTGACAAACACCCTAAGAGTAGCCTGTGTGCAGCCGAACTAACTAACTGTTAAGTCCAAGAGAAAAGTCCGGCAGCACGCAGGCTACCTAAGAGGTCCTTTTTAAATTTGCAGCACCCTTTAGCTTAGCATTACCAAATACCAAATTTGGAACTGGGCATCCATGCCCTTTTCGAATCACTGTTTCCTCCCCCACCCCACCGCCAATTTTTATTTTAAAAAATCATTACATTTTTCTTTAGCTTTTAGTTCATATTTCATTTAGATTATTTATTTTCTTTCTTTTCTTATTCTTTCATTGCTATAGAAAAACTTTAGGATACCATTGGTGAGTAGGTCCTACGATTTTGTTCTCTTAATCATGTGTTACTGTACGAATTGCCTATGATTCTAAAATTTAGCATGTAAAACAGTATCATAAACTGTGTATGACATATTTTTCATTTTTTCATTAGATTAAAAAGCAGACTGAAGTGGTTGTTGCAACAAGCAGTACAGAGACACCAGGTAACCATGGAAACTTCTCTTGTTATACACAAGGGGCAGAGACATGATGCATTCTAGTCTAGCTTGCAATACAAAAACAAAATATTGTTTATCAAAGTATATGTAGGGTTGTTTGTACCCAAGCAAGACCAGAATGCATCTTGTTTGTTAAACTGAGAAAAGGCTAGTGTCATGCTACTTAACGTTACTGACAACCCTCAAAAAATTCTCAAAAGTTTCAGTAAAACGTGAATCATATACCACTATTTCGACTTGTTTTCCTTTGCAAGTGTGCTAAACTTATAGTTTTTTCCATGAAAGGTATCAGGTATAAAATTTTTGCATATTATATGGTCAGCTACAGAACGACCCCAATATGTATATGTAATAGGACTCCATGCTGTCCAATTAAGAAATAATTGGACAAGGAAAATTCCGAGGACTGACAAAATTGGATGAGGCCATAGGCCGAGTCCWATTTGGCAGTCAGAGGAATTTTTCGAGTCTAATTATTTCTTGATTGGGGAGCATGAAATCCCATTACTTATTAATTATATAGCTGCCTAATTAATCCCATATCAACAAGACCTGTTCAATTAATGATGGTAATTGAGCTGAGTGGAGTGCAATTTGGACCAAAATCATACGAGTGATTACAAAATTGCATGACCGCATAGCGGGAGTGCAATTTGTTAATCACAAGTATGATTTTGGTCCAAAATTGCATGACACGAAGTTCAGTTACCACTTAATCATATCCTTATCATACACAAGAAAAAGACATAATAAAGAGTGCAGAATAATCAATTTAATGTAGTAGAAGATCGAAATGCGAACAAAAAAAAACATCTAAAAAAATGTTTTTGTTGATTTTTTTGTTTTATTTTGTTAAATAAATAAAAAATTTTTTTTAGGATGCGATTAAGAGCTCCTAAGGATGCGATTTGGGAATTAATTGCACTTCTTTGAACCAATCAGATTGCAGGATTTGGTAGTGATTACAAAAAGGATGTAATAAATCATGTAATTTACCAACAGCCATTATAATATTATATTAATTATTGAAATCATTTAACGTCAACTTCATAATCACATTTTATATTTTTCCTCTCGCAGGCATTCTGAATAATTCTGATCGGGAAGCAAGGTAATTGTCAAGCAAAGTATTTATCAAATACATTTTTTCTAATATAATTATGATAAATATATTATTAAAATTACATAATTTTTATCCCTCTGATTATCTAGAGTATTCAAATGTGTACGCTTAAAATGCAAACTAAAAAAGTGCTCATTGAGAAAGAAAAGTAAAGGCAGCAAGACAGTGAAGGATAAGGACAGGAAGATAAAAGTCACGAGTTCTAAAAGCAGGAAAGACAGAGATAGAAGGAGGAAGGCAAATAGGTACAAAGTAGTTGACAGCTTTGAGATTTTTCTTTTCCTGTTTTCGTGAACGATTCTTTGCATAAAATCAGCGTACATGTCTTTGCAAGACAGCAGATTAATGGCCTTCATTTTTTTATAAACGGCAAACGAGCCTGTTACCTTTATTGCTGGCCAAGTTTCCTGTTGGAGCTACCTTTGATATGAAATCTTCTGAGCTTCTTTTAAATTTTCGTCTAATTTTTCCACGAGGCAGTTAGGCAACTGAAGAATATGTGCTGTCTGTCACGTACTTTGTAATGCAGCATTGGACTAGAGCTTTTAAGTTGTGACGTATTTCCGTGTCCAACTGCCCACAAAAACCGCTAACAAAATTTTTTTTCAATGATTTAACCTCCGCCTGAAGCGATTGAGAACTTTGGACAACAAATCATATCTTTTCCCGGATTTCGTTATTCCATACGATATCGTCACATTTAAACTTTGCTACGCATCTTGTCACGAACTATTTCACGTAACGCAACCAAGTAACGCACTTTATTTTCTTCCCCAGTGTTGTCGTAAGTCAACCAGACTCTTCAGGGAACATCGAGGAACCTCAAAAACCTACCGAAAATACTTCTTTCACCCCTCCTCCTTTAATGTCCGTAGAAGTGCCTCCCATCAAATCTCAAGGAGATCCATCGAATCGAGGGGAAGACGAGTCATCACAGGATCCAAGTTCTTCTCAGGAGAAATGTCAAACCATCCCCACCATCTCCCCGGAAGGGAGTGAATCTCGACATCAAGTGTTTGGGTATAAGCAGAGAATGGGGAATGGAGTCGGGGATCAAAGATTTGGATCACCCTTCGGTTCTCAGTGGCCTTCGACGACGAAGTCGAAAAAGCACGGAAAAAAATCCAAATGGAAAAATCTGCAGCAGTTTACGCCTCAGCAAGGAAGTCCTCAGGGTATCCCCGTGAACATCAACCCTGATGGAGTAAACTGGCAAGGGGACCAGGCGGCACCGAACTGGCAAGGCCCTTTACAGCCTTGGCAACAAGGGCCCCAAGACCAAGCACCCTCGTTTTATGGTCCCTCCGAGCCTTTGCCATTCCAACAAGGGCAGTTCAACCAGCCACCTCCTGGTAACATGACGCCTTGTGGAATTCCTCCACCCAATCTTCCACTTCCTCCAAATTTCCCTCGTAACATTCCACCACCCAATTACCCTCCCCCGTCACAGCCAGTGCCGTTCACGTCACCACCATACCAGAGGCCCCCTCCTAACATGGCTGGGATGCCCTCCAACATACCGCCAGGAGGTCCTCTCATGTCCTCGTTTCCAAGCCAACAACCAATGATCCAAACCGCGCAGCAAAACGTCTTCATTCCTTCATATCCAGCTCCGCTCCAGGTCCCTTTTCAGTCTTTTAACACACAGGTTGACCAACCTGTTCAATTCAACGCCCCTCAATCGAATGCTTCTCCTTCAAAGGGAAGTATTAGCCAACCGGCAGGAGGCCTTGGAAACGTCAAAGATACGCACCATATGTTGCAAAACCAACAAGGTGGCAAACTAAACGAAAACTTGGTTAATAACGGATCTCGGAAGACAAATTCTAGAGATTCGTCGCTATCGCCCTCCAAGCCTAAAAAACCTAATACAAACCTACCACCGAATTGGAAAACAGCCACAGACCCTCAAGGCAACGTTTATTATTATCACACCGTCACTAGGTAAGAGGACTCATACTTAATTTTGTGTAGAATATTCATGTGTTCAAGTGAGGTTCTGTGGAATTTCAGACTGTTCGTATTTGGACGAAATACCTTAAGAAAGTCTAGAACTACGAGTACATCGTAAGGTCTTGCAAACAGGTCGCTAATTTTGCGATTGAGAGTTTATTTTAGAGCGCAACGTTGAATCATGATGTCGTGTGTATACACCTAATTGAAAAAACGGAGTCGGGTTCGAGAAGGCCATATCATCGAAGCTAAGACCGAAAAGGAATTTGGGTACTCCGAAATGTGTATTATATTTGCATATAGACATGTAAAAATGCACAGCAGAGCAAGTCGGTCGACCTAGATTAACAACATGCCAAAGCCATGATGCATAAAATGTGCACAGGAAGGGAAAACTGCCACACGCATAAAGTTAGCATAATTGTTTGTCTTCCCATGCTCCCCTTCGGTCTTAGCTTTGATGATATAACCTTTTTTTGAACCCGATAACGGGTGTAATTAGGTGTAAAATTGTTTGTTTCAAAGACTTCGCCTTTTCTTTTATTATCATTTAGACAAACCCAGTGGGAAGTACCAAGAGAAGAACCACATGACATGGACCTAGACACGCCATCAGATGAAGTGAGTTATTGAATGTTTTCATGTAAAGGGTTAAAGTTGCATTGGCTAATTATGAGGGCAAAATTCTCTCACTCCGATTGGCTGTTCAAAATAGCAAAATTCGATCTTTCTGTTTGGCTGTTCATAATAGCAAAATTCGCTCATTCCGATTGGCTGTTCAAAATAGCAAAATTCGATCTTTCCGATTGGCTGATTGTGAGGGCAAAATTCATTCCGATTGGCTTATTGAGAGGGCAGAATTCGTTCATGTTGATTGGTTGATTTAAGGGTAAAAATTTGATTGTTCTAATTAGCTGATTCCCTTGTGTTTGAAATTTCGTATAAATGTGGGAAACGGGTTAAACATACCGTCCCGTGACCGTGCTGCGTCTGACCATTTTCATTGGCTGAGCAGTGTCTTCGTGCGCTGTGATCGGCTCAAAGGATGTTGTAAACGCCGTGCCTTGACGTTTCATGACAAGACCTCTTTAGCTTGGGCGTAATGTTTCACCATTTCAGATAACGTGTCATTCATTCCCAACAGTATTATTTCTTTGTTTAATGGTTGCGCATGAGAAGACACATGAATATGGGTACAACTCAAACAAATAATTTTATTCTCGAGAGAAACTCACATGGTCTGAAATGGGCAAACATTACACCCAAGCTAAAAAGATACCTCCATTGAGCATGCTTTCATACCTTAGCATTTTGAGTCTCCCAAGATCTGACTTTAAAACCATGCATCCCACTTGTGTCCTGTTTGATACTACCATGACTGACGCTTATTTTCTGCACTTCTAATAGGAGCCTTTGTTCAAAAAGAAGAAACCAAGAACACCAAAAACTCCCCCAGGGACACCCCCCAGGAGTCCTACATTGACCTTCACGACTGCTGCTGCCGATACCACACAAAACAGAGGCTCTGTATTAGCATCCCCTGAACTAATGTCTTTGAACCCTGAAGGACAAAAACAAAAAATTAAAGACACCTTTAGAATGAAGGTATGGTTACCAGTTAATGCTATTTTTCATTCTGGTGATGACTTTCACGATAATAGCCGAAACGTCAATGACACCTTTTCATCTACAGGTGGAAACCATATGCTCGTGTAGTTAGACATCAGACATAAGATTTCTCTTATAATAAAATAAAATAAATCTATATTCAGGGCCGTAGCCAAACCGAATTGTTTACCAAGGCAAATGAGCAACTAGGGGGGTTCAGAAAATTTTGAAATTGAGACCCTCGCAAAATGCGGCAAAAGTTGTACCACTACGCCACCCATGCCATCCAGAGACGTTAGAGCGCTTTTCGGGTTCCCCGACGACTTTTAAGCTCAATTTATGTTTTTCTTTCTTTCTTTTTATTCATTAGTTATCGAACGTGGTGGTGAATTGCCTGAACCCATACTACAAAGTAGACTGTAAACAAGGCAGAATTACCAACGCCGACGATTTTAAATATTTAGCCCGAAAGGTAGGGGGAATTTATGTAATTTATGTCTTCACTCGAAAATATTCTGCCTTTAAAATAACTGGATAAGAGCACTCAAACTGAACTGTCTCTTTTTTTTTAGCTTACCCATGGTCTCATGACGAAAGAACTCCAGCACGTGAAGTCAGAGGAGTTCCTCCAGTGCAACGACTCTGTTAAAGTTAAGACAAAAGAATACATCCGCTCTTACATGAAGAAATTCGACGAAATGTATAAAAGATGCTAGCAGATAATCTTTTTAGGTCACTATTTTAATTGTCTGTTTTATCACCACTGTTTTTAGCTAATTAACTTTTACGTCTGATAGTATTGCTTCCACACAAATCTTGAAGGCCGTCTCTGTAAAGAGGCTCCATAAATTCGTATCTCTAGAAGACGGAAAGGATTGGTTCTCTAACCAGGTCCACTGGTCAGACACATCCTTTCTTGATCAAGGCAATGAAAATAGAGAATTTTCTTTGATATACTAAAAGGAAAGGGATGTCATTCTGAATAGGCATCTGTATTTGTTGACTTCAAGGCTCGGGTCAAACGTCGAACTTAACATGAGCCTTATGCATTAAATAATAAGATGAGGATCTTTGATGTCATTACCTTTGGCTCGTGTGAGGTTCAACGTTTGGGAAGGCATCATTTATGGATATACACTTTACTGCGGACCATACACGTTATTCTTCCCTTTGCAGACCACGTGTCATTCCCTAGAGTATCATTTCTTTGTTTATTGGTTGTTCAGGAGAAGACACATATATGGATACAACACAAACAAAGAATCTCGTTGTCAAGAGAACGACACATGGTCTGAAAAGGGAAAACATTGCACCCGAAAAAATAAGGTCAATTGAGGTGAAGCTGCTTCACTATAACAGTAGTCTTACCTTTTAGATCTTTATCCTACTCCATGAAATCTGTCATATGCAAGTATTTATTGATGCTTCCCTTAATGGTGATGGATGCAATGGGTTGAATGATTATCACTTGTGTGACGACTGTAGGAGCAGTAGGTTTTACACTTCTTGACATACCTGTGGCATCCAGCCCCCCCCCCCCCCCCCCCCAAAGGTACCTAGGTCAGAAGCTAGAATTTCCCTTAGGGGTAGGGGTGGGGGGAGTAAGTGTCCAATGACTGATGTCTTAATTTTATCTTTTTTCTTAATTTTATCTTTTTCTATCATTGTGAAAGCCAGTGTCGATATTTTTTACTCTCTTAATCATTAGGTGTACATCATTTTTCTTCCCTTTTCTCGCCCAATCAGATTTATATTATTCTTGTACATATGTACAGCTTTCTTTTAAAGTTTTAGTTATTTTAATAGTTGAATTTTTAGAATTTTAAGTATATTGTTACTATCTTACTATGTTGTCTTTGATATGGAAATATTTGATCGTGTAATAAGATAACCCCATCTGAACATCCCCTTTTGAAGGCCCATAGTCACGAATTTGCTGCCCCTTTTATAATTTTTAAAATATTAATCTTTTTTTTTTTTTAACATTTAAAATTTAGGATTTTTTTACATATTTGTAGTAGGATTGAAGAGTACAAACGCTAGAGTAAAGTCATTAAACCCGTGAAATAGATTTTAGACTAATACACTTTTGTAGACCCTAATTCCTTTGTTTTCGTTTGTCTATTTGACTATTACACGTTGACTAGTATTTTTTTATTTCACGGGTTAAATGCCTTTACTCTAAATCCCTTCACTCTAATCATACAGCTTAATTAGCAGTAAACCGTACCAAACAGTGTTCGGTGTTTTTTGTATGTCTAATTAGTGCTGTTTAATACTATTTATTGCAAAATGTTGCTAGCTTTTATTATTTGTACTCTAGTCATTGTTTTTTTGTTTTGTTTTGTTTTGGATTTTTGTTTTGTTGTCGTTAAAACAACTACGATAACGTGGCAGCTTTGGGCAAATAAAAATCATCTTGAGTGACTGTGGTTCTTTCAAAATTCCTTTGAAATAGCTAATCTTTACATTCTTAAGCACACTTATGAAAATGGATTGTATCATTTCTCTTCTATCGTTGTTAATAAACTATATGAATATTATAACAGCAGTATTTCGTATCTGTAGAAAGAGTTGTCTGATGAAAAGGCTGTGGCATTAAAGTATGATACAGTCTGCGTCAGTATGGCTGGTATGCGCTTCTTTTGAGATGTTTTGACTGAGAAAAGATAGTATCCTTATCGCATGGGTCGTTATTTGTAGCGAGGGTTGGTGATAATCAGGACACCGTTAGGTTTTGCAGTTCCCTGCTAGCAGAGCCTATTTTCCTTTTGTTTTGGTTGAAAGAAGGGAGAAAGAGAAGAGAGACTCTGCTAGAAGGGAAGTTTTGCAGAGTCAAGAAAACTGAAAAAACCTTGAAATCAAGGAAGAGACCTAAAAAACTTTACTGCGATGTCCAGGAATCAAACCCCGAGGACACCACCAGAGGTAAGAGGCCAATGAAATAACCGCTACACGTAGATAGCTCATTATTGAAACGCTCAAACTTGTTTTAAAAGTCTAGGCATTTCGTACCCGAAATGTGCTGAGAATTAGAAGAATCACACACCTTTTCAGGCACCCCAGTCCTTCACCTTTCTTCCCCGTAGTGGGGAGGGGTAGGGAGCCGCTGTACACATGCTAATACGAGTAATACACGAGTAACACTTTTCTTTTCCTTTTATTGAAAATTCTAGATTCATATATTAATCAAACCCGATATTTTTTTACATATATTTTACTCTGTGCGCACCGAACTTTCAAAGTCGTTTACCGACCACATTAAAATGGAAAATTTTCTTCCAAAGCGCTAAAATTTTCAAATTCATAAAATTATTTACATCGTCTTATGGTTTTGCTAAAAGCGAAGAAGATATTCATAAAAATGATTTCCGACTCATTTGGGGCGGAAACCATTCGAAAGGCACAGTTCATTGTAAACTATCAGACACTCGCTATATCTGTTAAACTGATTCCATACAAGTCGTAGTTTTCGCTCCTTTGTGGGTTGCGGTCGCTCAACAAGGTGTGTGAGCGATATCCAGAATCGACAGGAGAGCACAAAGACCTAATTGTGGAATCAGTCTATATATCTGTTTGAATAAGTTTTTAAATCTTCACAGTAAAAAGACACCCTTCCCGATGTTCAACTTAAGACTGACAACAACTCCGCGGTGCTGGGGAGGAAATATCGCTTTATCGAAAAAACCCTTTTTAACCCGTCTCCAAATCCAGCGCATCCTCTGGAATCCCAGTTACCCACGCAGCCGCTATTAGTGTCGTCACGCAACGCTCACTCTCCTGCTTAGCTTTGGTGAGTGAGTTTTGTGACGAACGGCTAGCAGCGGCGTAGGAGTCTACGGGTTCCCGAGGATGAATTCAGCCTTAATGAAAGCACTTGCCCAACGAGGGAGTTACCACTTTGGAAGGGCAAATTTAATATCTACTACATAGGTGTAAATAAGTCAGGTGCCTTCAAACCACGTGCGTCCCCAAGTCAAGCGTCCAAAGTAYCTCCAAATTGTCTCAGTCATGTTTCTAAGTCAAGTGATTATTACATCCCATAATATTAACCAAGACCATGCACTCTTGTTATTATTGTATTATTAAATTGCGACATATAAAATATTTATAATATTTATCAAATATCTATAAATATCCCGAAAATTATTTGCTTTACTTAAACAAAATACCATAAAAATAAATTATATCCTTTGAAGATATGGCAAATGTTTTCCCATTTTAAACCTTTTGTTGAAATGTTTTTGCTTTGTTGGCATCCATATTAATGTATCTACGAGTTATACTATCAAAGAAAGAAATAATACTTAGGAGAATTGACATGTGGTATCGAATCAGTTCATTGCGTTTGGGTCAACGTTTTCTCATTTTCTGCACTACATGTCTATCCCTGTTTTTATGTTGCTCGGAAATATATTAAATGATAGTAAGTGTATGTTCTTCTGGAGGTCTTCGAGGGTTCAAACCCTGTCAGGAACTAGGATTTTCTATCGTAGAAAATTATCGATGAGAAAGTCGATCACTTGGAAGAGAAATGAACACCGAAACCAAAGCCAACGAAATCGTTTTCACGAGGTTTAAGTAGGAAAACACTCTCTCTATGATCAAACCTCTATAGACTTTTTTCTCAGCGTTGCTAACACATCCAAGTCAAAAAAAATACATGAAGCCACCAAGCCGATACTGAAAGACTGTGATGACATCGAGCAAAAACATTTACATTGTAGTCTCATTACGAAATCTTCATATTTTGGTTTTCTGGTCAGGTATCGTCTCTTCAGTACTATTAATGTCGTCACACAACGCTCATTCCCCTAATAGTGTTGCGTGACGACAGTAATAGCGGCTGCGTAGTAGACTGCGTCAGATAACGATAGTATGCGTATACAACATTGAGAAGAAGGCCCACTGCATTACACGCAGTAAAAGCTTCAAATTAAATAGCATGCATTTGTAATTCATTTACTAATTCTGTGATGACTTTTTGCTTCCGAAGAACGACATCAAACCCATACCTCCAAAATCTTCAAACGCAAACGCCTTATTAATTTTTTCAAGGCGTTCTTCGGATTTTTGGGTGCTGAGCACCTGAGAGGGAGTCCCTCCTGAAGTACTAGAAGAAGGCTTTTGGGACCACATTCCTCGAACGCCCGCTAAGGAGCTTAGTCGTGTACCCGAAAATAGCCCCTTGGAGGGTCCTTGAAAAGGCTGTTGTCCACTGAAAAATGATCCGCTGGCATCAAAATGTGAAGGAGATGGCGGTGATTGACCTGGTCTAGCTGCCAGTCCTAAATCAATACTTGAAGCCCGTTCCATTCTGCCCGGTGGGGGGACTGGGACGGCACCTATGTGTGACCTTTGTACCAAGTCAGTCAAGCTACCGAGACTTGGTCTTCGAGTTAAACGACCAAAGATTCCTCCCGAGACAGGAGTTTGAGCATTTTGGGTCAAGTCATTTAGGTTTCCACTGCTGTTACTGCGTTGCAACCGGTTACCCAAACCAAGGTTGTTATAGCTCCCCACTAAATCATTAGACGAGCTCATCGATTCCAGATCCCCACTGCTTGCTCTCCGCCTCAGTGTCGGTAGGCTACTATTGGGAACCTCGGATGAAAAGTTTCCTCGATAACCACTCTCCGTAACATCTAAGCTACGACGCTTTGGATCCAATCCAGACGAATCTAATTGCTTTAGGTTAGTTCCACTAGACGTACGACCAAACCCACTAGGGTTAAGTGGGCCGACTGAGGTAGAGAAGGTTGTAGAGGTACTACTGGTTCCTGCGACTGTAGCAATAGGACGTGGATTAGACATACTAACATTAATTCCACTAGACCCTGCAAGAAGTCTAGTTAAAATTCCCCCGCCTATATTACTAGATCCTCCAGCTACTGATAACATAGAGAGGGTATTAGGAGGAGTAACTGGTGGGCTATCATCTTCTGGTATGGCTTCGGGACCATTCTTTCCCTCCTTTTCCTTCTCGCTGAAGTAATTCGCTAAATTCCTCAGCGATTCTGCTCTCCTGGGTTCTTTAACCGAAGCCTCTTCGCTAGCTTTCTGAAGCACTTCTGCGAGGACCTGCCCGACGGATGACTTTCCAGACGTCGTTACGGACGGGGAATTAAGAAGCTGAGAAAGGATACCCGCTGTCGCCGACCCACGACGACTACCAGCATGGATCCCTTTCTCGTGGACTAACGAGGTTAACGTAAGGGTCGTAGGAGGCTCACGGCGGTGTTTCTGTGCTTTTTCATCCATAGCTATTGGTGTAACATCTTCCTGGGTTGTGGATCTTATTCGCATTTGAATAGGCTGGTCGTCATCTGTGTCTACTTCGCTCATATCGCTCACATCGCTGTGTTCTTTAGAGTGTTTTCCATCAGAGGTGGTCTGTAAGTCTCCCTTTACATGTACTCCAGGTCTTTCTTGTTCTAGATTCATGGTGGGCGATGCTAACTTCTTCCACTGTTGCAAAGTAAGAGAACCTACATAAAGAACGGAATCAGTTACTTTATATTTTTGTCATTTTTCACATAAAAGCTTATTATCGGGACAAAGACAGGCTCCCACTTAGCTGGGAGATATGGTACAGGTTAATACGGTTTATCCGATATTATTTGAAAACGGAACCCGCCACTGTATGTTTTAAACATTTTTCCACGTTATCCACATCGGCATCCCATAATTCAAGATGGCCACCATATCCGTAAACGTCTGTTTCCTCTAAGCCCAGGAAATGCAATAACACAATAGTCCCCTTCACAGTTCTCTGCGCCATCTTGAAAGGTAGCCGTGCCTTTCCATCGAAGCGAGACGAACGGTGAGCTTGCAACGATAGGTACCTTTTTTTAACACCTTGAACAATTATTCACATGTCTCTATCATTGCGAGCTCACCGTTCGTCTCGCTTCGATGCAAAGGCACGGCTACAATAGCGCAGCGCAACCGTGACGTCATAAAAACGAAGAACGCGAAATTCGGACAAACAAACTTACAAGTTTACTTTCAGCAGATAATTTTCACAGCCGATCACAGTTGATCTTAGTTTACATGGGTTATTATTGTAGCTTTAAGTAAAAATAATAAAATCGGTTCGTATAATCCTCGTAGCCGTTAAACAGAATGCAATGTTTGTCCGAATCTTTAAGCTATTTTTAGAATCAGTGCGCCGCGCTATTCAAGATGGAAGGGGTCTATTAAGCTTGCGCTGCCAGCGTAGGAAAAAAATGCTCTATACACTAACCTTTTATTGGTTTGACAATTTGCAGTTTTTCGGGTTTTTTGAACGAACGTCTTGTGTACGAATAACGTGAATCTGGAAATGAAAACATTTTGCTTGAGAAAAGGTGCATCTATGTTGACGATACTTTAGTGTTTCCAGAGGCACTCTCGCTCCCATGCTTCTCGATCGCAGGTTTCGTTATCGCGAGAAAACCTCTGGAAACCAGTCAAAAATGATAGATATTCCAAGATGTTCATGCGTAAAGCCTTGTAAAGGTCTACGAGTATAAGTAATGTGTATTCTTGGGGTGAATGGGACGTCATAGCCGCAATTTTGGTGTCTTGTGTCTCGTCATCCAGCATGGAGGTTACGTCTTTTCTCCTTTTCCACCAATAGGTCCCTTGCATGTGACGTCAAAAAAGCTCAATTTGGAGGACAAAACAAAAGAATTTCATTCTCATGATAATTGGAAACCTATTGTTTTGTCCTCCAAATTGAGCTGCATTCCGACGTGTTGCAAGAGGTCTATAGACGATTTCCGAAATACGAGAGCGCTTCCATAAAAATCGCAGGCGCAGACATGAAAACGATGCATTTTCGAACAGTGTTTATTAGAAACCTTTGGAATCATCGAGTTATAGACGGTTTCTAAAACCCTTGAAGAAAAAGGCTTTTGTCTGAAGTGAGCTATATTTTTTCAAAAAGTACCAATCCTGCTCCCGATCAACTTCAAAGTATTCCTACATTAATATAACTTCATAAGTCGGTTTTTGAATGTCGGTTTTCGATAATGCTCGTAAGATCTCGCCTGAAAAAGCCTCGTTTTGGAATCTGAGCACGAGATACTCTTGACAGCGCTCGCGCAACTCGAAAAATATCTATTTGCTAACAGGGCGTCTACCAAACCTACCAAAACCTGAGGCAGAAGAAGCATCATCAGCTCCATCGAGTGAGCTCTCTGACGTATTACGAGGAAGATCAGTGATAGGATTGAATTTGAATCCCGATGAGCTTTGTACATTTTTAGAAGCGGTTGGTCTAGTTACTTTCTTGGGTTTCTTTCCTTTCGACACGTTGATGTTGTGTACGGTCTGAAGGACTCGAGCCAGGTTTTGCCTGTAAAGTTTAACTAAACATTAGTCTGTACCTTTTTATGCAGTAAACATTAAACAACAGAGCTTTTCCGAAATCGCTTGAGCGACCACAAAATAATAGCTTCAAGTCGAGGTTAAACTTGAATTGTTTAGACATTTGCTGTATTTTACCAAGTCCAACCTCGACTTAGAGCTATAGAGTAGTCTATAAATTGTGTGCAACCGTGACTCAAAATCCCTTGAGATAT